AATCCAGTTTCTCCATTGGAGAAAAAAAATATATCGCCAAGCGTGCGCGTGAAATTGAAATAAGAAACAACTTATTCGGCCGAATAGTGTACAACTACGATTTATAGCCAAGAATCTGCGACGCTATTTTCGTCCTAGGCACGTGTACTTTGCTCTAGCAACGATCTTCTCCTCCCTCTAGTTTTCTCCTTCAGCGTGAAAAGTTCATCCAAACTACGTTGAATATCGCTCGTCGACCGATCCTTCCAAAATGCTAAATTACCAACGATATTTAATAAAACTCGAGTTCTAGAAAACTGTAAATTCTAAATCTCGTCCCGTGCAATGTTTCCCAGAAAATCTGTGTGCAGTGTGTAATGAAAGGTAACTAAAATCAACTGCGACGCGTCTGTAATTCACGCGATACCATCTTCTCAACTCGTACTTTTACGGTACGAGTGTGCTCTGCTTCGCGTTATTTATTTTCCTCTACCTAGTATCGATACTTCTTCTTTTTCCATTTTTGTTCATGTTCGCGTCGGCATGAATGTTTCATGGTCTGAACGCATGGTTCGGTATCGTAAAAACGCGTTCGCCATCGAAAGTAGCTGAAACATCAAACGACGCAGACTCGATTCCTTTCACGATCTCACCCGCGCTCCAAGCGAGCACACATCTCTTTCGTTCGAGACGACGCGACGTGACGAAGGCGAAGAGAAACCTTGCCCAACGCAACGCGTCATTCACCAAACTCTTCCTCTCTGTTTCACCCCGCTCTCTTCTCATTCTCTCTGTTGGTGGCTTCGTCTTCTTTCTCTTTCTCCTGTCATTCATGAGGAGGCCGTGCCCACTTACGAGCTTTGCAACTCGCGGTGGAAACGCGTCGTTAGCCTGCACGGGCGCACAAAGGGCGCATTATCTAAAACTTGGGCTTTCGCTTTGCGGCTACGCGGAAGCACGTGATCGCGGTTTAAGTGGCTTTCGGCAAACTTTCCTACCCTTCGTCGGCTTCGCCAGTACTTTGGCGAACGCTTTAATTCTCAACAGGATCTTGTTGCTAGAAAACGCCGACTAGACTACTACGGAGCGGAGCTTCGAACGCCAAGCCGTTTACGTAACGTTTCGCGAGACAGAATGGAAGTTCGACCGGACGAATTGGCGCAACTTCCTTCGAGAATTACAGGGAATTATGAAAACTGCAATCCCATTTGCTTCATTTCGACGGTCACTCGAGAGGAGTTTTTAAGTAAAAATTTTAAATCGGACGATCTATCGCCCGTGGACGTTCAAAGTCTTTTCCATGTGTCTGGAATCATTCTATGCACGTTCGTAGCCCGGGGTGAAAAACTTAGCTAGCTGCTTCTTCTTCCTCGAATGCACGTTTCATCTATCCATCACCGGACGCGATTGAGAATTTGCGGCTAGGAAAACAAGAAAACACAAGAAAAAACGAATGTGAACACGACGCTTGCGAAAATTTATTCCAGTTTTCATCGTTGAGTCGTCAACACTTTTCCGAAATTCACATTTCATCCAATTTTCTGACAACTCTTCAGTTTACTTTTACGAATTCGTAACTTCGACTTCAATCATTGCAGGGTCAATATCCATCGACTTGACGAAAGAGCCGAAGGTTGATCGACGCGAGGATCAAGACCAACACGCGACAAAGGGCAATCGTTCACCGCGAGATGATAGAATGTGAAGTTCGCAATCTCCTGGTCGACCACAGCGGACAGTTAAACGCGACGTTTGGCTTGACTTCAGCTTCGTGGCAAACGATTGACGACCGTCCGTCAGAATGAGCTTAATGAAGAAAGCCATCGGCGGGTCCATTCACAGGATACGAGAGTTCGAGCTCGAGAAGGTAACTCGATTGACGAATCGAATCTTCCTCGTGATACGACCAACCCCTCCCTCCCGCTCTTTCCTTCGTTTGCCCGTTCGTTTCGATCGTTCGAGCCGAGCCCTTTTGATGTTCTCTCTCTCTCTCTCTCTCTGCCTCTCTCTTTGCTCGGGTAATATAATTTTTCGATCGACCAGATTGAATGAAGCTGTTGGTCCAATCGAATGGGGAAGGATAAACACGATAAACGCAAATTCAGAGTACCTTGACTGCTCGATTACTCGCGGGGCGCTTTTACTCGAGAATTCCTTCGATTGTCCGTATATTGCAGTCGAATTTAATTATCAAGCAAGCTTCCCCCACCCTCCCCTCTTTGCAATCTGATAACTTTTGTATTCTGGAAACGACGAAGATGCTTTTATCATTAGATTGTACGCGACGCACGAAACGTTGGATTCGTATTGAATGTTGAAAGAAAGTCGAGACGAGAAAATAAAAGAATCCTCCGCGTCAAGATAATAATCCACGAAGATAATACGATATTTGGTGGAAATTGAAAGCTTCGGACAAGCCGATAGAGGCGCTGTTGTTCCACTTCAAAATGCGTGTGCATATGCATACGGTAGCAAGACGAAGCAAGAGCGGGGGACACGACTTCCTCTTCTGTTTTCTGGCAGTAAACCAACTTTCTCGCTCGATGCTCACTTTATGACAGTGCGCGACGCGATTGTAACCTTTAACAGGTCGACAAGTCGCGCGAAACAGCCTGTTTGCGGCCACTCGAGTAATAAAACGACGCCGGTCGTCTCCATTGTTCCAACAAGCATGCTCTGGCAAGTCGCGTTTCTCTCGGCCAGTCTCTCCACTAATTTCGGAATAACTGAGAATCCACCAAAGACCGACGACAAGCCGTTTCTGCGGTGAAGTCTACGACTCTGTTGGCGCTTCGCTCTAATCCGCGTCAACGACACACAGCTTCTTTTCTAGGTTTTTGGAACGCGTTTCACATAAATCACGAGGTTTTTCAGCTCGCAGGATTTACGACGCGTAACACACAGTTTCTCAGGGTTTCGTAGCTTCGTGAAATAGCAGACGTGATTCGTTTTGATAGAATTTCGTAGAATTTCACAGTTTCGTAGGTAAAACAAACTGTCGTTACCTGATCATTTTCATTGGTAGATCAAGAGAATTCTCACGTTGAATCGTAGAGGAGCAGAGAAGAGCCCGATCTCCAAAAATTGTTCGAGAAATTTCCTCAGCGCTCAAGTCCAATCCTTATTCGAGTGATTTCACTTTCAATAATTGAACGTCGCATTACGCTTTCTCGCTGTTTTAAAGGTCGACGTTTGCAGCGCGCCGCACTAAATTATGCATCTTCGTGGATCCACGAACAGCTTCTGGTCGGAGTAAAAAAAAAAAAAAAAAATCCTCTACCCTCGGACCGAACGATGTCCATCGATCTCACAGCGGAATCAAGTCGTGCCTCGAATTAAAGATAGATTTTTTTTTTAGCGATCCCCGAGACGAAAAGCGAGAGTAGACGATCCATGAATAATTCACATGAGAAATTGTAGCATCTTCTTATCAAATCACGTTGAAATGCAATGTGAGTGAGATTGGCAGATAAAATGTCCTCCTTAATACTTTGCTGTCGGGCTATTCCTCGCTTTATGAAAACACGATGAATTTATAAAAACTCTGTCTTTCTATATCGTCGAACAACTACTAGAGGAATAAAGCAATTTCAACAGTAAGCCAATTGCGTTATTAAATGCCTTGAAGCATTTTTTTTTTTT